CATTGATTGCTCGGGACCCCGAGCAGTTAAGAAGAGAAGACATTCCTCATCAGAATCAGTGCGCACACTGCCTGTACCTAATGATCACCTACTGACTACACTGACAGCAATCATGAGCTTTTGAGGTATAAATACTCCTTGCAAAAGGCAAGACGGGTATGCAACAAAAAACTCTTTACTACAATACACACTCAGTGTTTTCTCCTTCCTCTCTCTTTCTCAAAGACTGGCTAGATCGTTGGAGGGGATACGCCGGAAAACACTCCGGCGCCCTTCTAACTTGTTCTTCTTTGTTCCAGGAAACTCTTTCAGCCTTACTGGATCGTTCTTCCGCTCTCCCAGGGTCTCCTTTTGTCGTTCCAGGTTACCACCGGATCTTGCAGGCTGTTCCAAGCAGCGTGGTTGGTCACTCAACTGGCTCACTCGAGTTCACCAAAAAAGTGATCTGTTCTCGTTTTTTATATTGTACAGGATCTTGCACGCACAAAAATCACTTAGTACAGGAAAATTTGGGAGGTTTGTTGGGAAGTTCGTGCCTGAAACACTGATCACTTGTCTGAGCAAACTTGAAGCTGAATTCAACTTGGTCTTACGTGATGACGAGTTCCAGGTAGGTAGGTTTTATGGTTGTGTACGTGCACGCACGTGACAGTGTCGGCTCGATGAAAATTGAGGTCCAAAGCAAAAAATTTAACCGGGTTATTTATAATTTTATCATGATATGATTATAATTTTGTGATACAAAATTAATAAAGNCGTTTATAGTTTCACCATTAATCTCGAGTCCTAAGTTTTGTTCAAAACTATCACAAAACCCCTGCCTCTCTCTCTCTCACACACACACAATATGACATGCAACCTCCAGACTGTTTTTCTTCCTGGGGGAAAATTTCTCACATCTGACCACCCATAGTTACCAAAACACTGGGCTTTGCATTGCCGCCACCAGCTAAGGGCGGTGTCGCGGTGGTTCGTTCAATATTAAACACCGATAGGTCGACTATGGATGCGGCAGACTTGAGAGGTGTGGTGACAAGAAGATCACTGACAAAGAGACTGCTTGAAGCTGAAACGAAATCACTTAGTACACGAAAATTTGGGAGGTTTGGAGGGAAGTTCGTGCCTGAAACACTGATCACTTGTCTGAGCAAACTTGAAGCTGAATTCAACTTGGTCTTTCGTGATGACGAGTTCCAGGTAGGTAGGTTTTATGGTTGTGTACGTGCACGCACGTGACAGTGTCGGCTCGATGAAAATTGAGGTCCAAAGCAAAAAATTTAACCGGGTTATTTATAATTTTATCATGATATGATTATAATTTTGTGATACAAAATTAATAAAGAGAAACTACAATCGTATTAAAATTTNTTACCTCGGTCTGATATGATACCTCAGTAGGTATACCTCCCTCGGTTCCGAGATGAGCCTTTCCTCAGTGCCGAGAGGTACCCCNTTATTTATAATTTTATCATGATATGATTATAATTTTGTGATACAAAATTAATAAAGAGAAACTACAATCATATTAAAATTTATAATTACCCTATATATATATATATTCTTTAGTGGTTGACTACATTAACACAAAAAAAAAATTGGTATCTTTTCTTCATCTATCAATTTTGCGGTCATATTTGTGGGTGTTTTAAATTTTACCACTGTTGTGGTACCTAAAAAATTATAAAACTAATTATCCCTACCGTGGTAAAATATCCACAAATATAATAAAAATATCTACATATGTGGTAAATTATTGACAAAAGTANGGGAAACTACAGTCGTATTAAAATTTATAATTACCCTATATATATATATTCTTTAGTGGTTGACTACATTAACACAAAAAAAAAATTTGGTATCTTATCTTCATCTATCAATTTTGCGGTCATATTTGTGGGTGTTTTAAATTTTACAACTGTTGTGGTACCTAAAAAATTATGAAATTAATTATCCCTACGGTGGTAACATATCCACAAATATAATAAAAATATCTACATATGTGGTAAATTATTGACAAAAGTAGTAATTATTTTTGTAAAGAAAAAAGTGTTAAAAATAATTATCAAAAATGTAGTAAAAATATCCACAAAAAATGATAAATTATTCACAAAAATAATTTCTTTTTTTTTGTTATAAAATAACCCATAAAAATTAACAGTTATTAAAATAGTTATAGTTATGATACTGAAATCTTTTATTTGATATTGTAGTTTAGTACTCTTGTTGTAAACCCTAAAATTTCAAAATTATTTAGCATTTAACCTGCTTATAATAAAATAAAAGGATTAAACTAAAATAGATATACAAATAATTTTGCTCTTACCCATGGATAGAGAGNTATAGTTACGATACTGAAATCTTTTATTTGATATTGTAGTTTAGTACTCTTGTTGTAGACCCTAAAATTTCAAAATTATTTAGCATTTAACCTGCTTATAATAAAATAAAAGGATTAAACTAAAATAGATATACAAATAATTTTGCTCTTACCCATGGATAGAGAGTAGAAACGAGATATAAGGAAAAAGAATAAAAAATTTGATGATAATTATTTTAGATGAATTCTTTGCATAGTTAAATAATTCTCAAACTATCTAATTTCGTGAGTCGTATTAACAGGTGACACTCATATCCTTGTTAGTCAAACTTAGAATAGAATCACTAAATTGCAATAATTCATGTATAGGAAGAGCTGAAGACAGCACTGAAGGACTATGTAGGACGGGAAACTCCACTATACTTTGCTCACAGACTCACCAATCAGTACAAGAATATTAATGGAGAAGGACCTGAAATTTATATAAAGAGAGAAGATCTCAACCATGGAGGAGCACACAAGATCAACAATGCCATTGCACNTCATGTATAGGAAGAGCTGAAGACAGCACTGAGGGACTATGTAGGACGGGAAACTCCACTATACTTTGCTCACAGACTCACCAATCAGTACAAGAATATTAATGGAGAAGGACCTGAAATTTATATAAAGAGAGAAGATCTCAACCATGGAGGAGCACACAAGATCAACAATGCCATTGCACAAGCTATGCTCGCCAAACGAATGGGACGAAAATGCGTCGTGGCGGCCACCGGTGCCGGCCAACATGGTATCGCAATCGCCGCTGCCTCTGCTAAACTCTCTTTGGAGTGTTCCATATTCATGGGTGATATAGACATGGAGAGACAATNTGAGTCGCGGCGGCCACCGGTGCCGGCCAACATGGTATCGCAATCGCCGCTGCCTCTGCTAAACTCTCTTTGGAGTGTTCCATATTCATGGGTGATATAGACATGGAGAGACAATCGTCAAATGTGCTCTTGATGAAGCTGCTTGGTGCGCAGGTGCTATGCTTCTTATGCTTTAATTGTATGAGTTGTCTAAGATACCCAAAAAAAATAAAATAATATATATCTATGCTATAAAAGTGGTAAAAGTTATATCTCTACACCATGTCTGTTGGGATAAAACTTACATGTATATATATCTATGCTAACGATATAGGTAAAATCTGTGGAGGGAAGTTTCAAAGAAAGCAACCTCAGAAGCCATCCGGAACTGGGTCAACAACTTGGAAACCAGCTACTACTTGGCCGGCACCGCCGTCGGCCCTCACCCATGTCCGAGCATGGTGAGAGAATTTCAATCGGTGATCGGAAAGGAAACAAGAAAACAGGCAACGGAGAAGTGGGGTGGGTAGTCAGATGTGTTGGTGGCCTGTGTTGGGAGTGGCTCAAATGCATTGGGTTTGTTCCATGAGTTCTTGAGAGATGAAGAGGTGAGAATGATTGGAGTTGAGGTTGCTGGGACTGGTTTGGATAGTGGAAGACACTCGGCAACTTTGGCTAGAGGAGAGGTGAGTGTTTATCATGGAGCCATGAGCTATTTGTTGCAGGATGATGAAGGTCAGAATGTTGGGCCACACTCCATTGGTGTTGGGTAAGCACCCAGGTATTATTATTATTTTAGTAGAACGGTCCGGGTGTTCGTATCAACTTACTCACACTTCGGCTAATCTCCTCTTCTGTTCGATTAAAGGCATGTCATTTACGCTAGAATATTCATGATGAATAAATCTCTCATAACCTGACATAAAAGAATTGTCAAAATTTAAACTCAAGACGTCTGAATTTATAGTTTATTTATATTACCCCTTAAATTACCCTTAGAAGTAGCACCCAAGTATTTATGAGCAATGCTATTTAGTATTAATTTCTTTATCTAATTTATTGTTGTTGTTGGATTGATTATGAACAACATTCAAGCCCCTTGGGAAGCAATGGGGTGGATAGAGTAGGCCTCAAAAGACCATACTTATGTAGAATGCAGCATAATACATGCATTTACATTAGCTGTTATATATATAATATTAAATGTTTCAGTTACATATGAATAGAATTTATTTATGAAAAGAGTTGAGCTCGATCTTAAACACGAGCTTCAACCCAAGTTTAAGTTGGAACTCAATTCGTGTAATCAATCAAATCGTGTCAAGTTGATCTCCAAATTAAACAAAAAAATATCAAGCTAACATTAAATAAGATGTTTACAGTTCAACGCAAATCCCTATAATCTCTCCAGAAGACTGAGCTGAGCCCGAATAGCGTAGTGCTCAACTCAATTAGTTCATTGCACCTCTAGGGGTAGTATGAGAGGTGCATGGGGACCTTGGGACACCTAGGTATGGCTGGGGGTGGAGACAATAACAACAACACAACGTTTATGGAGGTAAGAATTGCCTTAAAAAAACAAACTGCTTATACACGCAGGTTGAAGTATCCGGGTGTTAGTCCAGAACTAAGCTTTCTCAAAGACATTGGGCGTGCAGACTTCTACACAGTCACAGACCAAGAAGCTCTAGATGGTAAACAAACAACATGTAGTTATTATTACAAGAAAGAGAAGCAATTTTACATATTTATTCATTAAAATTTGACAAGCCGACCCCGAAAACATTGGGACGAGGCTTTGTTGAGTTGTAGAGTTATGGATTCATTAAAATGTGACCATCCAGTGTGATTTTTCTATTTCCTGCAGCATATGAAAGACTGCAGATTAGAAGGACTATTTCCAGCCTTGGAGGCCTCTCATGCACCGGCATTTCTAGAGAAACTTTGCCCTACCTTGCCCAATGGTGCAAAGGTTGTAGTTAATTGTAGCGGCCGCGGCGATAAAGATGCTGCAACTGTTTTCAAACATATACATGACTCTCGGATAAATAAAGATAAATGTTTTGTGTATTGATGGATCTAGGAGACAGGCAGGGACAATCCTCTTCCCCGCAAAAAGGGTTTGAAGNCGGATAAATAAAGATAAATGTTTTGTGTATTGATGGATCTAGGAGACAGGCAGGGACAATCCTCTTCCCCGCAAAAAGGGTTTGAAGGATCGCTTTCAATAGGCTATAAAAATAGCTTTGAGTATATGTTCAAATTATTAGGTTCGCCCCCAACTATATATCTAGCCTTCTACAAGAATAAAATCCTAGATTCATCCTTGAAACAGGCCGGTGAATACTATTGGAAATGGTTGAAGACACTATAGTTGATGGAGCTAAAGCTAGCTGACATACACACTACTCAGAATGGGGACCAGAAACTTGCAGCCATTGTTACCAGCGTTACAGCTGAGTTTTGGGGGATTCCATGAGACAAGTTTCATAAAGCTAGTTTGTGAGGCTATCAACAGGTCATGCAATCCTTTCTCACATACAAACTCCTCTGTTTATTATGGTTGTACTCTAGCAGCCTTTGGCTAACATAAGTGTACCTTAATGAAATTAGATTTTTTCTCAGTCCATTTTTTCTCAATTTTACTCAATAATAGATCATCTACAATAATTTCAAATGAGACTCAACATTTTCCTAGTAGTGAGAGAGAGCTTTGGAAGTTCATACTACTGACAAATTTGTTCTAAAACATACATCACGAGAAGATATGGGAAAAGGAGAAGAGAAGGGGGGGGGGGG